GCCTACGCGTCCACGAAACTTCAGAACTATCGGGATAACTTTTATGCCGCCAAGTACGTAGGCGGGACCGATGTTCTGAAAGTTCAGAAGATAGAATTAATGTTTTTTTTTATCTTCTCAACTCACCCTCTAGCTTGTTGACTCCGAGGTTGAGGGTCATGAGGGCGCCAAGATCTCCGAGCTGCCGCGGGATGTGGCCTGTAGATGAACGAGTCAAAGCAGGGCAGTTTAACGGGATAAAAGCAAAAGATACCTCCCGCTTTCTAGAAGATCCGCCCGCCAACTAAAGGAAAATCCCGGCGCTTTCCGTACAAAAGTTTCGTGGACGCGTAGGCNATGACTTTCATGACGCCAGTGACATCCGCGTCCATGCACGATTTCTCCAGAAGACGAAACAGATCGGCGGAGATTCGAACGTCTAGAAATAGAAATCGTCAGGGTTTATGGACTACAGGTCCCATTCCACTCGAGCTAGGACATCTCGGAAGACTGAACATCATCACACATAGCCAGATGCATGTCGCAGAGACGAGGAGGTGTTCTAGAAACCGGGTCGTTCTTAATTTTTTACCCCGTAGGCCCGCCAACCTCTAGAACATCCCTTTTCAAGAAAGGCACCACCACACCACACCACACAACACTTCCGACCGATCAACAGCCATGGGTGCAATAAAGGACAGCGGATGGATCTCGGCGAGGAAGTCTCAACAAAAAAAATACCAAGCCTAATGGGCCCGTGCGGGGCAGGTTCGTCGTCGCGGATGCTCCAGACTGCAGAACACGACATACGCCGCATCATGAACAAGAAGCGATACCGAAGATCCCCCGCTTACCCGAGGTATTAAAAAGCTAGGAAAGTTGATTTGATGTACAGATGGAGGGTTTTCAATGAGCAAGCTAAGAAACGAAGCTGCGGTATCTCATGGTCTAATAGTTTCGACGAGTACAGCAGCTTAGTGCGCACACCGTGCTCTTACTGTGGCGAATTCACGTACGAGGGATACTCAGGAGTGGACCGCGTGCAGAACGAGGGTACGTACGAAATTGACAACGTTGTGGCCATTGTCAAGGATTTCTTGGGAAAGGTCGAGCGTGTAGCAAGCAGTTGCAGGACTGCAGCAGGCTCTACGCGCGAAGTGAACTGGTGAAAATACCTTTAAGGTTGTTGTACCTCAGGCTCAACTTCACCACGCGGCCTGCGTCGTTGACTTCGACCCCGTACCATTGCCCTAGCGGTGCGTCAGTATTCCACTTTGTGTTCTTCTTCCAATTAGCCCCGCCGGTCGCGTTGAATAGAGCGACCAGTGCGGCACGGTCCGTCGACATTTTGGTAGAAGTGGGCCTGGTGGGGGGCGCGGAAGTTTGCGCAAAAATGACGATCAGTTCAAGAAAAAAGAGAACCTCGCTTTCAAGTGACTGAAGTGACCAGGGACCGGAAGTGATAGGCCGCGCGCCGACCGTGGCCGGTGGACTGGTTGCTTGCGTCGAACCTTGCACACGGGCAATATTTCACGGCTGTTTGAGGCCACAAAGCTTCGGCGTTGCGGCGTTGCATCCGCAAATATGCGACATCTCGAAGGTTGCGAAGCAGTCTCGACCAACACGGATCTCGAAAAAAAACACACGGTCGCGCAAGTAAATGAAACAAATAAAGCACCACGGATGTGTCGACCGTGAATGGCGTGGCTGATTGCGTCAAACCTTGCACACCGGTAATACCTCGCGACGGTTCGTGGTGTTAACCCATGCATTTCGGTCCTCGAGCTAAATTTGCGGCTGAAGCCGGCGTCAGCTGGGACTCCAAAAAGACCTGAAAAAAAGAGACTCACCTTGGCATGCAGCTGGATCCTGTCGTGCTTCAACGCCACCGCGCAGCTCGTAAATCACAGTGGGCCTTAGCTCCGGTGTGTCTGCACGGCCGTCCACGAAACGCCGGAATGCTCACTTGCGATCTGACGGGGGGAGGACACCAAACAGCGCGGCGACCGAGCACACGCGCGTGAGAGGCCAATCTGTGGAGCAACATTTGTTCAAGTTCACCACCAATTTTTAATTCACCGTCCAAAACACGAAATTCGCCGACAGCCCGACTACGTCTCTGATCAATCTTTTGGGGTTGCTGTGGGCTGCCATGTGCCGGCGAAGACCATATTTCATGTGAGTTACACCCGGGAAAGGAGGCCGATAAAGTAACTCGAAACACAAAAAAGTTGTGGGAAGATGAATGAAAACATAGACTATGTAAGGAAAAGGGAAGTCACGGAAAAGGTGTTGAGCAGAGCAATCCCGTGCTATCAACCGTACATGAGACAACACAGGGACACCAAAAGTAAAATTTCGGGACACGGGGGCCTCCAATACACCTATGGCGCCTTCCGAGATCGAATGCCCGAAGCTTTTGCGGGTGCAGTTTCCGTCGGTAGAAAAAACGGAAACCGGTTCTGGGGTAAACCGTACCGTGGGAACCCGGCTCCGAAATGCGTTTGGAAAAAAAAAAAAACTTTACCCGACTTTTCGAACTTTTCTTGTGTGGCGGAACCCAAATGACGGCAAAGAAACATGTTTCAACCCAAACGCAGAACGAGAACGCACTCCGCTGGGTCGAAATACATACAGGGGACATCCCTTCTGTGGCCGTTTGGCACGATCCCCACCCGCAAATGCCGTTTTCATCCGCGCGGGGTCCGCGCGGCCGGTTGTACATGATTCAAGACAAAAAAAAATCCACCGCTTCTCTCTTCATCCCGGGGACATGCAGCGCCCATGTGAACTTTCTGAGCCACGGAAACGAAGGAGGTTGGTTGTCAGTGCAAGTATACGTCGCCTCTGCTTGTGGCGAGCCCTGTCAGGCATGGCAAAGGAGCAAAACCTCTACCCCTTCAGAAACTTCAAATGAACACGTTACGGCGGGGGGCACGCAAAATGCTACCCCCTCCTCTCTTTGCGTACCCCCCCTATCCTTTGATTCATACATATATGTTGAAATCGCTGAAACTCACCCATCCCGACTGGGCCAGTCAAATCTGACAAGCGGAATCGTTTCTATGCGGGTAGAGGTGGCTATAACCATATTTTCGGAGCTTAGCTGGTTAAGGAACGCTTAAACTCAACCTCGGGCACACGATTGCGGAAGGCGCCCTATAGGGACGTGCTTGCGGGGTTCTCACGGTCTGCGATGGCTTCGCTGCTTCGGGCGTCTGTTTCTATGCGGGCCACGCACGGACATCTGGTCAGGGCACCTCCTGTCTCCCGGGATAACCAAAAACTCACACACAAGCCGCGGTGCAGCCGCCCTCCTCGATCCGGGTGCTCACTTAGCCACCCCCCTCGATCCAGATGCTGGCCGTCACTTTTGCTGATTGACGAGCGCCCACTTCCAATGTCTACTACCGTTGCTTGGGCATGTGTGCGAGTCAGCTGGGACTCATGAAAAACCTGGAAGACTCACCTTGGCAGTACTCGGGGTACAGCTGGACCCTGAAGGTTCTTGTTGCTTCAATTCTGCCAGCCTCCTGGTGTAGCTCTTCTGTCACGGTGGGTCTCACCTCGGTGTATGTGCACTTTGTTGAGCTTTCGCACGGAATGCTGCTGATGGGGGGTGCTTTTTCAGTGTTATTGGGTTTAGTTTTTTTTTTTTTTTCTTGGACACTTCCTTTTTCACCACGGGATGGTCACCAGCCGGGTGGCGTCGAAGAAAGGGCGATCCGCTAGAAGATGAACTGTCGAAGGGTTGAGGAGAAGAAACGAGGTGAATCGATGCACGAGGCCCGATGTATGGACGATCAGGGCGGCTGAGAAAGTACCGCGGGCACTCGCAGATGGTACCCCCTCGATTTTTGCCACCCCCCTACAAACCCCCCCCGGGCAGGGCACAGCAGGCTGCATGTTCACAGAGCCGTAGGAGCCTCGTCATGGACACCAGACAGAACTGAACCTCGGTATACTGTTGTGCTACTTGTGGTAGAGCTGTCGGTGCAAGTTTTGGGCGTTTGGCAGCTTTCTGTGCGAAGAACCGAATCTGCCTCGCGTCAGGGCTCCTATACGCGGAGCAACTCGGTCCAGCAGCCGCACCACGCCCAGGTTAGTGCCCAGCAACGATTCTTCGGCTTTCAGAGGGTGCGTCGTGTAGCTGAGGTGTTGTACTTACTACTGCTGTAATATTCTCGTCGATCTCTCTCTGTGGACGCCAATATCGACAATTTGACGAGCAGCTGTGTACCGCCATTTTCAACGGTTTTCTGCAGCATGGTCCGTGGTTTCCGCGCCTCGTGCG